GGGCCTGAGCTGAACTTTGAGCTCAGAGAGGACAGGGTCAGGGCCCTCACCTGAGACCGCGAGCTCCAGGGGCTCGCTGGGGTGAGACAGCACGTAGGGGTTGGAGCTGTATGAGCCGTAGCACCTGTAGGTCCCCGCATGGGCTGAGGTCACAGGACTCATGGGGAATTCAGCCTGGTACTTATCAGATTGGTACTTTGATCTCAGACGCACAGGGGCATCAGCTGCTCCCTCCTTGATCAGAAGGAAAGTGTACATCCACCCCTGTGACTGACACAGCAGGGTCACTTTCTCTCCTGAGGCCACCCTGGGGCCTGGATGCATTGAGAGGGAGGGTCTGTCAGGGAACTGTCCTGGAGAGAAGAGGATGGGTGAGGGGCTGCGCCGCCTTGTTCTGAGCTGAGACCTCCCCAGGCCTCTCTCTGGGACCCTCAGTCTCTGTCTCTGTTTTCTCTGAGTCTCCCCCTCCCCGCCCATCCCCTGTCTCTGTCTGTCTCTCCCTCCCCTGGGACCCCCGCCCCTCATCCTGGCCATCACCACCTGGGCTCCCCGGCAGGGCCTGTGCAGAGCCTGGGTCCCTGACTGAACCCGCTGGGCACCTCACCTGCGATCAGGATGTCCAGGGGGTCACTGGGGGCCGACCACTCGGAGGAGAGGTTGTGTGCACCGGAGCATCTGTACAGGCCCCCGTGGGAGTGGCTCACAGGGCTCAGGGTGAAGTTGGCCTGGGAGAGCCCAGCCTGGAGCTGCCGGCCAGGGCGCTGGAGGAGGTCAGGTTCTCCCTCCTTGTACAGGGTGAACCTGTCATAGCCGACATCAGAGCCACACTGGAGGGTCAGGGTCTCCCCAGGCTCCACGACAGGACCCGGCTGCACTGAGAGTGATGGCTTCTCAGAAACACCTGGGAAAGGTGGTCATGGTCTCCAGGAGCCGACCCTCAGGCTCCCCACAAATCCTCCCTCTCCCCCGGCCTCACCACTGCAGATCTTCCTGTGTCTCTGGCCCAGGAGCCCTGAGCCCTCTCACCCCAACATCGTCCCACCTGGAGCTGCCCTGAGACGCGGCTCCTCCTGCCCGGAGACTCAGGGATCTCCAGACAATGCTGTGAATTTCTCACCTGGGACCAGCAGCTCCAGGAGATCACTGGGTAAAGACCACACATAGGGAGATTGAGAGTAACAACCATAGCACCTGTACGTCCACCTGCGACTCGGGCTCACGGGGCCCACAGAGAAGACGGCCCGGGATGGCCAACGGGCATGGGGCTGGGAGTTCAGGCGCTGTGGGTGTTCATCTTCTCCTTCATTGTGCAGAGCAAACCCATCAAATGCCACCTGTGAGCCACACTGGAGGGTCACGTTTACTCCTGGGGTCACCACAGGGCTGGGCAGGGCTGAGAGGTTGGGTTTGATGTAATATCCTAGGAGAGAAGGAGGCACCGTGTTAAGTGGGGCTCACACCTCCCACATCATCCCCAGGGCTGGGCTTTGAGAGGGGGAACACCCCTGAGAGCCAACCCTCTTCCTGGACTGAGCCTGGGGCTGGGACCCCTGAGTGTCCTCTCACCTGTCACCACCAGCTCCAGGGGGTCACTGAACTCTGACCAGTGAGTGCGTCCGCGATACCGACAGCGATACCGCCCTGCGTGTTCCCCAGCAATGGACTGGATGGGGAACTGGCCCTTGTTCACAAGATCTTGTGGAATCTGCCTAATCCAGGATGCTGATGTTTTTTCTCGATGTAGACGGTACTCCTGGGTCTCCAGGTTCCCCTGACACCTGAGGGTCACAGGACTCCCCTGGGTGATCACAGAGCCTGGCTCAGCCCAAAGGGTGGGCTTGGGGAGGGTCTCTGGCAGGAAATAAGAGGTCAGATTCCAAGTCATTTCCACCCAACCCAACAGATTCCAGCTCTCAGCCCAGGACCCTCCAGACCCCCATCAGTCACCCCAGAACTGCTATTCCCCTCCTCAGCTGCACGGGGGTGGGCCTTGTCCCCAGTGAGAAGGAGGACCTGGGCCAGCTGGGGACCGACTCACCTGCCTGCACGTGGGTCCTGGAGCCCAGACTCAGCCCTAGAAGAGAGTTCCCTGTGAGACATTTGCCCCTGAAGCCTGAGCAGGTCCTCCCCTCCCTGGAGTCTTTGTGAGCCCTGGGGTCTCCTTATGGACCAGAGTTTGGCTGTGGGGTGAGGTCCCTCCTAGGTTAGAATCTCCCTTCCCTCTTCAAATCTCACCGACATAGATCAGGACCATGAGGATGGGGGTCATGGCGTCTCCTCCCACTGCCCTGCTCTGCGGATGGATGAGCCCTCGCTGCTGGCAGGACAGAGACACAGGGTGTAGACACTTGGAGGCTAGGTCTTCTTGTCATGGGGTTGTGTCATCTGCAGCCACACAGGAAGCAGAACTGCCCTCCCCAGGAGCCTGGCTCTCATTTCTTTAGGGCTGAGGTGGGGGTGGGCCTAACCCCTCTGCAGACATTTCAGACTGTAATGGGGTCTTTCCTGACCCCCAGCCACTGTCTGTCTGGTTTGTCCTCAACTCACTGAGAGCTGGGACGTAGCAGCAAATAGCCCTGGTGCCTTCCTGAGTCAGCCCCTTTTAGGTGAGGGTGACCATGGGCTTCTCCTCCCTCTCACAGCCTCCCCATGGGGTCTCCTTCCCTCCTTCACCTCATCCATCAGCACAGCAGTGCGGGGTCCTCACCATGGCCATCGTCTCTCCAGCCCTGGAGTTGCTTCAGGGAAGATGTAGGTCAGTGCTGCAGGCAGGCTCAGGTCAGCAGAGACGCACCTGACGCCGGGCTGTGCAGTCCAGGCTGAGCTGCATGTGGCCATAAGCGCAGAGGAGAAATGCAGGGCCTCTCGTGGTGCTCCCGCCTGGAATCCCAGCAGTTCAGGAGGCTGAGGGGGGAGGATGGTTGAAGCCAGGAGCTTCGTATTACCCTGGGCCACATAACGAGACCTTGTCTGTCCAAAGAAGCAAAAACATAGCCGGGCATGGAGGCTCACACCTGTAGTCCCAGTTACTCAGGAGGCTGAGGTGAGAGGATCACTTGGGCCTGGGAGGCGGAGGCTGCAGGGAGCTGTGATCACTTCTCAGGGTTCCAGCCCGAGTGACAGAGCAAGACCTTGTCTCAAAAGGGGAAATGCAAGGAATAAAGAGAACAAAACGTATTTTTCCCGTCCCTGGAGTGTCTGTTTCCTTCCTGCACAGTAACCCCTCTCTTATGCTTCCCCTTTTTGCTTTGCTGCGGTATCACCCACCCCCACCTGGGGATGACCCTCCGAGTCCATCCCATGTCCTCAGTGCCCCATGTCCTTGTCTGTCCCTCTGCCCCTCCGTCCATGTTCAGGGTTTTCAGAACAATTCGTTAGGTCTGTCATCTGCTTCTGGGGGAGGGGAGCTGATTTTTATTTAATTCCTGATTATCATCCATGGTTTATGTGACCTTGGAGATTAATGTCACCTCTGAGCCTGTTGTCATGAGCCGCACTCATCACAGCGGGTGGGGGTCAGTGGTGCCCAGGACGTGGGAGGGGCTCAGCCGCGGGTCATTTCCAGACCAGTTAAGACAGGGGGGTTGGGGCGTGAGAGGACCCTGGTGTTGGCTCCACAGTCAAGGAGGATGATTGATGCACCCATTCCAGAGCCCACATCGGCTCCAAACACCGTGAAATGCTCCTTGTGACACGTCTGAAATATGCAGATCATCACGGCCACAGGCAGAGAAAGAGGAAGGTAAGTTCCTCCAATTGAGAAGCATCCACTTCAATGAACAGAGTTCACAGCTGAGTGGCCACAGGTGTGTGGGACCACCCAGGGGTCATTAGGGAGGAGGAGGTCCCACCTCCGTGAGGGACAGAAGAGGAATCCCAGGTCCTCCAAGGCAGGGAGTGGTCAGGACTCTGGGTGAGGCTGGAAGCTGTGGCCCCCTCCCCTGTGTGTGTGGACAGGCGCTGGGAGGGGTCTCTGCTCACTCACCGGAGTCCATGGTCAGCTCTGAGCCTCTCCCCCATGTGACTGAATCCACGGTTGTCAGACACAGGCATCTGCCCCACAGGAAGTGAGGCTGGTGTCCATCCCATCTCTGCCAGGCACAATCCTGAGCTGATGCTAAGTTTGGGAGAGTGGGGCAGGAGCAGCGGCAACAATCCCCCTTCATCAGGCTGATGCCAGGACAGCCTTGGGGGAACCCTTTATGAGAGGCCAGGTGTGTGGGAGGAGAGCCACCCAACAGGAAGGGACAACCAAGATACACGAGGAAAACACAGACAGGTGTTGAAATGCATTAGACAGACACTGTGAAGGTGGAAAATAGTAAATTGAATTAATTTTCGTATTAATTAATTTATATATTATATCAAAGAGCCCAAGCCCTTCTCAGCCTTTTCCCCTGCTGTCACTGCTACTGAAACTGTGGGGTTTCTGTCTCCACCCCCAGGTGTCCCTCTCTTCCTGTCACAGAGATTTTCTTCCTGGAGATCAGCAGTTGGGTTGGCCTGGAGAAGGACTGGGAGTGTGAGGGGCAGTGAGGGGCTGTAGGGGTGGGTGGGCGTCTGCACTCTCCAGACAGAATTACCTCCTCTGCAGGCCTCTGTCCTTGTTCTCTGGCTCCGCAGCCCCCGAAGGACTTTGGAAATCAGCCTCCCTCTGGGCTGGGTGAAGAAGGACAGAGTCTGAACCTTGGAAGCATTACAACCACCTGCTCTGCACACAGAACTCAAGAGGAAAGAAGGAAACCTGAAAACACACTGGCATAAATATTTTAAATACATGGAAAGCTGAAAAAAAAAAAAAAGAAAAAAGAGTAAGGTAGTCCATGTGTGCTCACATTCATTCTCTTCTTTCCAGGTGTTCTCACTGGGAAATGCTGGAGCTGTTTTTCTGAGCTGACTTTTCTCATCTGGATTCTCTTTGGCTGGTGCCCTGACCCCACCTTCAGTCAGTCCATGGGTCCCCCCATTTCCTACTCACCCAATGTCCTGTGTTTGCCCTGATGCCAGTGTCAGAGGGGGAGGAAGAGGAGGAAGAGCAGCAGCCGAAGGCCACGGAGACCCTGATCACAACCCCCAGGTGCCTTCCCAGACCTTGAGGTAGTACAGTGAAGGTGTACTGATGCCCTTGCCAAATGAAATAAAATTATTCCTGGTGGTTCTTATTAACAGTGATGGAGAAAAAAAATTTTTAACAGATCAATGGCTGAATACTGGGTATCAGGGGATGTATTAATTTGCTGAAACTACAAAACCACCTCTGTTACAGCATCTGCAATTGGATCATCACCTGGGTAAGCTCACAATAATCTATCATTATCCAAGATCCCTGTGTTTTCTGTAGCGGCAAAACAGAAGAGTTGAATTGCAAGGTTGTGGGAATCACTGTCTTTGCACCCTTCAAGTCCTGGATGGGGGTCCTAATATATGGAATTTCCTCCAGGAATGCAAGATTGCTTTTGGTTTACAATTTAGCTGGGAAGAGGCAGTTCTAGTGGCGCCCACTGGACTCACTATAATAACCCTCACTCCACAAGTGAGGGAACCACTGCGGGGCTTGTGATAGTTGTTAAATGCATCTATTCTAATGTTGCCTTCTGGAACTGGGGATATAGCCACTGGATGGGTTTAGGGACACACTGGATCCCCCATGGAACAGATGTGAGCTCAAACTCCATCAACCACCTTGTCTCTAGTAGCCGCTACTCTGACTGGAGGGTCACAGTGACGTTTTGGGTCTCCTGAAATTAATGTCAGTTCACAGCCTACTTCCAATAGTGCCCAAATTATCTGATTATTTTCCCCTGATGTTCCATTGCCATCGTAAAAGGCCACAGGTCCCTTTAACAAAAGTCCAGGAGAAAGATCAAGAGTATAAATTCTTGGTAGTATCCCAGGGCTAGCACCCTCTTGGGGACCCTGTCTTCCCTTTAAATCAAGGGATTCTGGCTCTATGAAGTGGCTCAATACTAGTCATTAATTGAGAGACTCTGGTTCTCTGCTTTTATGATTCAGGTTAGACTTTTCTTCACTTGACATAGAAATTTTCTCAAGTGAGACTGTAGTAGGTTTCCTGTGTGTCTCCCTTGTTAGAATACCATGATTGGCTAGCCAACACCATAACTCTGTGAGACGGTTCTGATTGCTGGTTTGACTTTGCTGTCCATCATGGTAACCACACCCACCTTGCCTTTGGTGGTTGAGTTCTTGCACTTGGCCCCTATCTCTCTGGGGGCCCAGAGGTAGGGGCCAAATTACTCCCAACACATTTACATTTTTTAAAAATTCGGCAATTCCACTGTAAGTTCCAGCTTCCAAAGAAGAGCAATCACAGAGCCCCTCAAGGGTGCCAGAGTTCCCCTCACGATATCGTTGAAAGATACATCTTCTGGTTCTTCCAGTGTGGTCTTACACGGTTTGATAAATCCATGCAAACATTACAATCTTCCTAAGCCTTTAAATCAGTTCCTCTACAGCAAACCAAGGTATGCCTGGCGTTTTGAGTTTATGTACTGAGGGCCAGATTTTGCTCCATGTTTCAGCCAATCAACCAGATAAACTGGTAGAACCATTTCTAGTTCTCCAAGATGCAACATTAACTGTGCAATCTCTGTGTAGTGAGCTTATATCAATACATTTGGTCTGACTCAACTTTACGTTCTTTTCACCGTTATCCCAAACCCTTAATATCCACTCCAACATGTGTTCCTCAGACTTCTGAATATATAATTTTTTTTTTAAAAGTTACTTTGGAGAATAGCACATCTTCTCATGCACCATACTTTGTATAACACCTTTAGGGGCCTGTAAGACTTGAATCTGGTTACAGGTCTAGAAGCAAAGAGGGGTGGTCAGGATGTGTCCTGAGGAGAATCAGCATAGCCTTGCATGGCAACTGCCTCAGGGGAGGCCAGTACCGTTTCCTCAGACAATGCAGGGTTAATCTCCTTGCATGCAGGTAGAGAGGATGCTTCTATTGTCAAAGAAGACTCATTCAAAGTTAAGGGCTCCATATCCTCAGCTGTATCAAGGTCTTAACACACACCCTCATTCCAACTTTTAAGACCTCCCCATTCCTAACCAATGCCGTTACTTGAACGGTAGATACCTGCAAGGCTGAGGATTCCATTTGCATCGTAATCTAGCCACTTCAACCGTGAGATTCTGGGTTTGATTTTCAGCGATCTCACCCCTAAAGCTACAAATGATGAGAGTCTCTTTCAGGGCAGACATAAAAACCTCAGATATTTATATAGAGGTGCTAGAACTGGAAATTCTAATCTCTGGACTCACATTTTTCTTTACCTCTTTATCCAGGGACAAAACAGCCAAACTTATTAGTTTGGCAACAATCTTCAAAGGTATATGCAAGGCCACCCAGATTCTCGTCCCTTATAAGTGTACGATTAGGAGCATCCAGTGGTGTACCCCTAATGCCACACCATGCCGTGGATTATCAGTGCTCTTTTTTACAAGTGGAAATAGAGTCATTAATGTCTTTAAATCTAATCAGACAGCCAGTTCCAGGAACCTCAGAAACAGTGTAGAAAACGTATTAAGATTCAGTTCTTCTAGAATCATTCCTATGACCAAATTATGTACTCGTTTTAAGTGTTCTCCAGAGAATCAGAACCAATATGTGTGCATATGCATATATTGATATCTACCTGTCTTTCTATCTAAAAATGGGTTCACGTGATTGTTGGCACTTGGTGAGTCCAAAATCTGCAGGACATGGCCGGGCGCAGTGGCTCAAGCCTGTAATCCCAGCACTTTGGGAGGCCAAGGCGGGTGGATCACAAGGTCAAGAGATCAAGACCATCCTGGTCAACATGGTGAAACCCCGTCTCTACTAAAACTACAAAAAATTAGCTGGGCATGGTGGCGCGTGCCTGTAGTCCCAGCTACTCAGGAGGCTGAGGCAGGAGAATTGCCTGAACCCAGGAGGCGGAGGTTGCGGTGAGCCGAGATCGCGCCATTGCACTCCAGCCTGGGTAACAAGAGCGAAACTCCGTCTCAAAAAAAAAAAAACAAAAAAAAAAAAAAAAAAAAAAAAAACTGCAGGACAAACAGCCTGAAGACTCGGGGAAGAGTTTCCGCTCCAGTCAGCCACACAATCTGCTGGCAATGTTTTTTATTCCTCTGTGGAGCACATTAGCCCTTTTCCTTCACACAATGCCCTTATTATCTTATAACGTAATGCATACCCTGTTTATTATTGATTGTTGTGTAATGTCCACTTTTCTGGACTACAATACTGACTTAACACAGGCAGGTTCTTTAGAAGTTTTCCTGTCCTTCTTTCTGATACATCTTATATACCACGTTTGACACAGATTCGATGCTTCCCATGTGCCTATGGAAACAGGGAGTAACAGTGTCTCCACTCCCACCAAGTTCATCTCTATCACGGATACAATTTGTTTCTACTTGATTCTTTTCTTCTCCCTTCCAGGCAGCCTTTTGTACAAAGTTCTCAGAACAGAAAAAGAATAACATTCAGGAGGCAAGACCCCAAAGTTGGCAAAAAACACATCCAGACTCATTGCCTCCTCCTTTCTCTTAGTTCTTAGAACTCAGGGCTCTCATCTGTCTGATATTTTATTTCTGTGTGGTTTTTCCAGCCATTTTAGAAATATTTCTTTCTTTCTTTCTCTTTTCTTTCTTTCTTTCCTTTCTTCTTTCTTTCTTTCCCTTCCTTCCTTCCTTTTTTCTTTCTTTCTCTCTTTCTCTCTCTTTCTTCCTTCCTTTTTCTTTTTTTTCTCCCTTCCTTCCTTCTTTCCTTCCTTCCTTTTTCTCCTTTCTTTTCCTTTCTCTCTCTCTCTCTATGTCTCTCTATCACACTGTCTGTATCTTTTTTCTCTCTATCTCTTTCTGTCTCTGTTTCTGTCTCTTGCTCTCTTTCTCTCAATTGATTGGAACTAATCACTACTATTAGCTCTCAGTAATTTCAACATTTCAAAAATGTTTTTCTGAGATCATCTCAAATCCCCATGGAAACACTGTCACTGTACTTGCAGATGACATAATAATTACCTCTCAGCAAGGAGATGACCTCATCGTGTCCCAAACCTTTATCTCAGGGATAAGATATCCCCTACTGCACAGGTGCTCAGACTGTGACCATGGCAGCTACTTCCCCAGCAAGAAACCGAATTGGGTAAGTGGACTTTCTTGTTAGACTGGGAGCCATATTCTCAGAGAATTAGAATGTTTGTTATAAAAAAAACTTGGTGTATACACAAAATTCTTGCTTAGTCCTAGGATCAGAATAGACCATTTAAAAAAGCCCTTAGGCCAGGCGTGGTGGCTCATGCCTGCAATCTCAGCACTTTGGGAGGCCGAGAAGGATGGATCATGAGGTCAGAAGTTCAAGACCAGCCTGGTCAAGATGGTGAAACCCCATCTCTACTAAAAATACTGCGCCTGTTCACTGCAACCTCCACCTCCCAGGTTCAAGCAATTCTCCTGCCTCAGCCTCCCAAGTAGCTGGGAGTACCCAGTTTTAAAGGTTTGATTTATTGTTTCAGTTTTAAAATGTAAAACACAAACACACACAAAAGCATAAGAATATACTAGTTCTCTCTGGTTCTTTCTCAAAGAAAGCTAATTACTAACAACGTCCTGAGTGTCTTTTTCTTTTCTAACTCCCCACGTAGCTGTGTGTCCTGGAGGGTCTCCCGTCAAGAGAACTTTCCCGTGAAGTTCACAGCTGCCCAGTACGCTATTGAGGAGATGCACTGGGATTTATTCAGTTTCTCTTTGATCCAGGTGGGGTGGGTTACAGTCATGGTGTTACAAATAACAATTCCATAAGAAATAACTTCAAACTTGTAAAAGACTTGTTCTTATATTGGTATTTACTTGTAATAATGGGTTTTGTGAGAAAGATCATTTTCTGGAAGCAAAAAAAAAAAAACAAACTTAATTTCTTTTTCAGTCTGTAGAGTCCTCAGATTCAAATGAACTCAAACTCTGACAACATCTCTAAATGGCTGGAATGGTGTCTGTTAATTTATATTGGGGCATTGCCTTTCTCATTCAGACTGCTGCTGGAATCCTTGGGAATTCTTCACTCTTTTACTTCTTTAGCTTTATTTTTATCACTACACAGATAGTGAGACCCAGAGACCTGATCCTCAGCCAGCTGGTCCTAGCGAACAACCTGGTTCTTTTCTCTAAAGGGATCCCTCAGACAATGGCAGCTTTTGGACTGAAATCCTTTCTGGATGATGCTGGATGTAAACTTGTCTTCAGTCTACACAGAGTGGCCAGAGGGGTTTCTCTCAGCACCACCTGCCTTCTCAGTGGCTTCCAGGCCATTAAGCTTCGACCCAGTATCTCCAGGAGGATGGAACTCCAAATGAGGTCCCCAAAGTGCATCGTTTTCTGCTGTTTCCTCTGCTTGATCTTTCCTCTTGTGGCAAATGTCTATATTGCCACACGTGTAACTGGCTCCGTGAACAGCGTTAACTTAAGCATGGAAAAAATGTACAGATACTGTTCATTACCCATCTCAGACAGACCGTTATTCTCAGTATCGGCCGTCATGTGCAGCTTGGTGGATGGTGTGTGTTTGGCCCTCATGGTCTGCACCAGCAGCTCCGTGGTCCTCGTCCTGCACAGGCACAAGCAGAGAGTCCAGCACATTCGCAGCCACAGCCTCTCCCCAAGAACTTCTCCTGAAACTAGAGCCACACACAGCATCCTCGTCCTGGTGAGCACATTTGTCTCCTTTCACATGCTCGCTTCTATTTTATCATTTGGGGTAACCCATATTCAGAACCCAAGCCACTGGCTGAGGAGCTTCTCTTTCCTGGCGTCTGCAGGATTCCCAACATTCAGTCCCTTTGTGTTCATTGTCACTGACATCCGCGTCTCACAGTTCTACACTGTCTGCTGGACAAGGAAGTCCAATGCTCCAAAAATGGTCTCTGGGCTATAAGTTCCCTCCAGAATATTACATCATTTATTTAATCACTTCCCCCTTTCCAATATTTGTAGGCTCATATATTATGCCAGTTAATATGTAAGGACTTTGGGACTCGGTATTGAATAAATGGCCTCATATTGCCTATTGGAGTGCCTAACATAAACATGATATACATAATTATCCCACTGTATGGCGATTCCTTGAAAAACTAAACATAAGGCCGGGCGCGGTGGCTCAAGCCTGTAATCCCAGCACTTTGGGAGGCCGAGGCGGGTGGATCTCGAGGTCAAGAGATCAAGACCATCCTGGTCAACATGGTGAAACCCTGTCTCTACTAAAAATACAAAAACATTAGCTGGGCATGGTGGCGCGTGCCTGTAATCCCAGCTACTCAGGAGGTTGAGGCAGGAGAATTGCCTGAACTCAGGAGGCGGAGGTTGCGGTGAGCCGAGATCGCGCCATTGCACTCCAGCCTGGGTAACAAGAGCGAAACTCCGTCTCAAAAAAAAAAAAAAAAAAAAAAAAGAAAAACTAAACATAGAATTGCCATGGAGTCTTGCAACTTTATTTCTGTGTATATATCCAAGGAAATTCTTGGTAATCACGGATGATAAACCCCCTAATAACTTTCATATAAATTTCCTGATCATTGCAGGAGGGGGAAGTCAATGTCTTTATGGGATCCAATTCTGAGAGTCATGAGACAGGTCTTTTAGAATGACTAGTGCCTAAGTGTGCCTGAAACTAAGCCGTGCTAGATGCCTTGTGCTTTGTTTGCATGCTTGACCCATGCTGTAAGCTGACTCATTTTTGGTTTGGAGACCGTGAAAGTAATATTTGGCATGTGTAGTGCACATAAAACACCATGTTGTCATGCTTCATCCCACGTGGAGTCTTTGAAAACGACTCTGATCAAGAAGATTGCTTTACTCTAGAAAGTAAGAGTAGAGTGGTTGCCTCCTTTGCCCTAGAAATTCCCTAACTATTTGGACGTCCATGTTTCTCAGTTTTATCTATTCACATATTTTATCATATGCAACAGGGTTTTATATTCTTCCCAACAAGACACTGATTTTGCCATAGAAAAATTTAACTTTGCAATGCTGTGATTCAAGTTATGTTGTTACCTTTGAGGAAATTCAAAAAGAATCAGCTGCAATCATCCATACACACGTTTCTCCAACTAACATAAATGAATGGAAGGGAAACATCTCAGCTCCTTGGCAAGATCCATTGATCTGAAGTCTGTTATTCAGCTTGATTGCTCCCTATTCTTCAGACTGTCTTCCCTTGGACCTCAGTTAAATGGTTCCTGTCCTCACTTTTGAAAAAGGATTCAGGATTCAGTTTTTACCCTCATTTACCCACAAAAACTGGTGCTGAGCACTCCAGTAGAAGATAAAATGTCTAAATTTGCTACAAATGTAATTATAGTGCATGCAAATAATTTAAGAAAATATGTACCTATTGAATCTTCTGCATAGAAACATGTAAATCATAAATGCTGTATTTATTTTTTTGAGACAGAGTCTCGCTCTGTTACCCAGGCTAGAGTACATTGGCACAATCTTAGCTCACTGCAACCTCTACCTTCCCGGCTCAAACGATTCTCCCGCCTCAATCTCCCAAGTAGCTGGGACCACAGGCGCACGCCACCACACCCGGCTAATTTTTGTATTTTTAGTAGAGACAGGGTTCTACCATGTTGGCCAGGCTGGTCTCAAACTCCTGACCTCAAGTGATCTGCCTGCCTCAGCCTCTCAAAGTGCAAGCATGAGCCACTGTGCCCGGCCATAAATACCATATTTTATGTCACATTCACAGGCCAATAGCTGGATTTATAGCTGGGCATTTCAGGGTGGAACTGTCCAAGACCCAGTGCTGAATTCATTGTTACAATCTGAGGATCCCCATACAAAGTGAGCGGCAGTAAGGGAGGCGGTGCTGGTGCATGGCCCCAGGGAAAACCCTCTAGATCCACACGCATATCTCTGTTCAAGGCTAGATCGGGTCCAGTTCAGCTCATCTTTTCTCCAAGTAGGAGAGATGTCCTGACCTTGGGATTCTAGGGTGACAATTTTGAAATCTCTGGACACTACCAAGTTGGCAATGTTCATAAGTCAGAAGAGGTGCTAAACTCTCACCGGCCACTTTCATAGATGAGCTTTTGGTAAAGAATTTTATAGTAAAGTGAAGCTCAATCGGGAATAGTGTCTCAAAAGTGGAGCATATATTTAAAAAAAAACAAAAAACAAACAAAAAAAGTTAATGGCAAAGTTCCTGAAAAAATCTTGAGACAGAAATAAAAGAAAAATAAAAAATGTGTACTAATATAGACCATCCTCCTGACACTATTTTCTTGATGACTGGTTAAGAGTAATGATCAGATTGTTCAGAGGGTTAATATTATCAGATGCTTCAGAGAATTCCAGGCTGAGAAATAACAATAAAAGCCAAGTTAATTTTTCCAATGACTTAACTGGCTTTATATCGGCACCATAAGTGTCTTCATAAAATCAGTTAATTAAAATTAATCCATTAAATATGTTAGAACAACATACACTTAAACTTTTAATTAAAACAATTAAATATATTCAACTTCATTGGAAACAAAAAGAAGATGAAGCACCAGTTAAAAGCACTGTGCTGTATTCAATGTAAGATTCTTGATTATGATTTGTTTGAAAGACTACTCCCAGATGCACTTGTACTAAATCATGCTATCTGTTTAATGTGTTATATAGCCTTTTTCTGAGTGATAAATATGCTATTTACAATACACAAAGTTATTCTACCAAATTAATTTATGTGTATTAATATCGCATATTATTTGTAGCATAATAAATTCAAAATATTTTTGCGTTTATGTCCTTTTTACCAGCAGCAAGATAACTTGAGTTATAGCACCAAGTAGTTAGATATTTCTATGTCAAAGTAAGTTTCATGGGAAGTATGTAAAACCTTGTTAAATAGGATGAAATGTGTGGATGGAAGAACCTGAGAATGAGAAATGCCAAATAGTTCTGAACCTTCAAGGACAAAGGAAGCAACTAGGCCACTTGTAGTTTCTAAAATAAAGCAAATTTCTTGCAAAACCTTCTTCTGTGGCTGCACCAAAAAGTTACCTACACCATTGGAATTTGACAGGATTAGCAGAGACCAATATATGAAAATTCTGCCTATAAAAATATTTTATAAAATTCTCTTATGGATCAAAAAAAGATCTCTCTAAACATCTGTTTTTAACAGTAATTAGCTACTTTTTAGTTATATATAAGTTGCCAGGAGATGATGGATGGATCTACAATATAATTATGTATTTGACTAAACGACTCTTTAACTTGTGATTAAACCTTTTCAAAAATTAAAAAAATGCATGTTAGACATTAAAATGACTGCTCTGATTCCTAAGCTGAGTTATAAGGTTATTGAAAGAGAAGTGGATGCAGGAGTCCCAGGACATCATACAGAGAGGCTGTTGGAAAGACCCCCACCCCTCCAGAGAAACACAGGAGGGAGGACCTGTTGGCAATGAAGAGCTTGCAATTGCAGATTTTGCTTACAGATATGGAAGGATGTTTGTGGGTGTGTTTGCTTGTTTGTTTTGCCTGAAAAATTGGGTCATGGTAGTTTATATATTTAGGGAATTATTTTTTAGCTGTGTGAAGTAGAAACTTCCAACTTCCAGAATGACAGAGTTCGGGCATGGGATAAACCAGTCCCCAGTAACAACTGAGAGGCTAGGCTAAATGTTCCAACACATCCATCTCAGGAATCCCAGGACTCACACAAGCTGAGAAGCGTCTGCCCACAACACAGCCAGATTTCGGCAATGAGAGTGCGCCCACCCGCGGCGTTGCTGCTGGTGAACTCTGACGGCTGCCCCCAACAGGGGGTTCTGCCCTGGCTGCAGGCGCTCTTCACCTGGAGCACTGTCTATAAATGTGGCCAGGGCAGGGGAATGTTGCAGTTGCAGCCATGCAGGCTTTGCAGCCAGGTGCATGGCCACACTGGAATCATAACCACACTCTTCACAAAACGCTGAGTCTGGGAGACTGACCTCGGTGGGTGGAGGCTCGATGATCTCAACTTTATTTGTTTTGTTTTGTTTCTGAGATGGAGTTTCGCTCTTGTTACCCAGGCTAGAGTGCAATGGCGTGATCTCTGCTCACTGCAACCTCCGCCTCCTGGGTTCAAGCAATTCTCCTGCCTCAGCCTCCTGAGTAGCTGGGATTACAGGCGCACACCGCCATGCCCAGCTAATTTTTGCATTTTTAGTAGAGACGGGGTTTCACCATGTTGACCAGGATGGTCTCGATCTCTTGACCTCGTGATCCACCCGCCTCTGCCTCCCAAAGTGCTGGGATTATAGGCGTGAGCCACCACGCCCAGCCAATGATCTCAACATTAAAAGCTGGTTTGCTCCCCACCTCTAAGGTGTGCTGTGAGGATGCACTTAGAAGATTCAGGATAATGAGTGCTTGTCGTGTTTTGGTCTTTTGTTTTTGTTTTATTTTGTTTTGAGACAGAGTCTCACTCTGTCGCCCACGCTGGAGTGCAGTGGCACAATCTCGGCTCACCGAACCTCCACCTCCTGGGTTCAAGCAATTCTCCTGCCTCAGCCTCCCGAGTACCTGGGATTACAGGCATGTGCCACCATGCCCAGCTAATTTCTGTATTTTTAGTAGAGATGGGGTTTCACTATGTGGGCCAGGCTGGTCTTGAACTCCTGGCATCATGTGATCCGCCCGCCTGCCTTGGCCTCCCAAAGTGCTGGGATTACGGGCGTGAGCCACCATACCTGGCCAAATATTTTGTAAACGAAAAATAGAACAAAATCTCAGGACTCCCAAATTCCTAAAGTGAAACGGGAGGTCAGCCTGGAGGCAGAGTCAGCAGCACCCTCTTCCAGTTGGACAGCAGTTGCTGGCATTCAGCATCAGCCAGACCCCCATGGGAAGGAAGAGGCCCCAGGCATCCACAGAAGCCCCCACACATTATTCATAAGGAATTTCCTTGCTGGCCTCCAGGTATACAATCTAAAGGCTAGCTCCTAAAACTCAGGTGTGTTTTATTCCACACTGATAATATCAATTACAAGCTTACCTTCCCAGGTGCAAAACAAAGCCAAGACGAGATCAGTGATTCCTCAGACGAGATCAGTCATTCCTCCAACTACCCAGAGACGTCTGCATA